CCTCCAGGGCTGTTGGTGTCTCTGACACCCCTGTGGCCCCAGCAGGGTGCTGTATCTCCAGAGCACCCCAAGCTGGTCCCTCACTTCACTCCTCCTGCTTTGCCTGTCCCTCAGCACCACTCTGCTCCCTGTGTGCCCTGGGACTGGTGGCATCCTGGCCACCACAGGAGGGGGTTCTCTGGGCCACCCAGCATTAACCCACATCCCCAGGGCTGCATGCTCTTCCCTGCATGTGGCCCCAGCAGGGTGCTGTATCTCCAGAGCACCCCAAGCTGGTCCCTCACTTCACTCCTCCTGCTTTGCCTGTCCCTCAGCACCACTCTGCTCCCTGTGTGCCCTGGGACTGGTGGCATCCTGGCCACCACAGGAGGGGGTTCTCTGGGCCACCCAGCATTAACCCACATCCCCAGGGCTGCATGCTCTTCCCTGCAGCATTCCACAGGGATGTGATTCTGGCTCTGCCTGAATTCCCCTCTCCTCACACACCAAGAAGGGCATTGCCTCGGCCGTCCCTGCTGATCCGTGGCTCACAAGGCAGTCCTTCCCCTCCCCGAAGCCTGGCTGGGCACAAGCTGCTTTCTGCTCTTTTCCAAGTGGTTCTGCTGCCGTTCAGCCCCAGTTCTGGCACCTCCACGGGAGGAAGCTCTGCTCATCTCCCAGCCCTTCGCCTGCTGGAAACCCCTACGTGAAGGCGGGAGACGCAGCTGGTGTGTGGATCCCAGCCAGGGCGGGGAGCGTGACTTTGAGCTCCAAAATGAGGCCTCTGTCACCCAAATTAAGAGATTTCTGTGGTGTGGTGATGGGAGAGATCCCCTTTCCCTGTGCCAGCCTCGCACAGCCCTTCCTGCAAGCCCAGCTAATGAAGCGCTCTCTTCTCTCCTAGGAGAAAGAGTACGTCCGACAAGGCAAAGATGCAATGGAGGTTGTGGACCAAATCCTCGCCCAGGAGGAGAACTGGAAGTTCGAGAAGAACAATGCAAGTGTCCCCCTGCCCCACGTGCTGCTGGCAGGAGCACGGATGGCTTAGCAGAAACGGGAGGACAAATGAGGCTTTTGAAACCTCCTCGCGACATGAAAAATTAACAAGCGTTACAATTACCTGATTGAATTAGGAACCTATTCCAGTTCAGTTAAATGTAAAATCCCCTCTTATTTAATTAGACGTTTAATTGCCTTCCTGTTTGACAGGAGAGAGCCCATCGCTCCTCCCTGTAGATGGCAGGCAGGGAAGGGCTCACCTTTGGTTGGTGTTGGGATGCGGAGCTGTGGAGGCACAACGACCCCGCGGTTCTGCCCTTGCTCCGCACCTTCGAGCGTGCTGGGGACACCCCACCAAGCAGCTCTGGCCCGCATGGGAGCAGGGCAGTGTGGGGCACAGACTGCTTCTCCCACCCCCAAAGCTGTTTGTGTTCCCCCTTCCCCAGGACAGGGACCTTGTGGGTGCTGGAGTGTAAATGGGGGACAGTGTCTCTGCCTTAGGTCTTTCCACTGTGGCACCTCTTGCTTTGGGCAGCACACAAAGCAAAGCAGGCCCTGCCCTGCCTGTTTCCTCACCAGTCCTTGAGCCACAGGGGAGTTTTCTGGGGTACCTAGAGCTCTTTTCTCCCTCCGAAGGGTGGAGACAAAGGGGCAGTGCCTCTGCCCCCTAAAACCCAACCTTGCTTTCTGCTTGTGGGGTGAGAGTCCTGCAAACTGCTGTCTCATCTGGTGGTTGAAATTCCCCTGTCAAGTGATCCATTGTCTGATGCCAAACTAGCTGGGCAGATTGTTTTCTTTATCCAAAGGGGGATGGATTTAAATAGACTAATCAGAGTTTAACACAGGGCTAATGATGAAAGGTTATCATCTGTCCATCCCTGAGCCCCCAGGGAGTCTCTTCTCAGATGTAGGTAACAGCAGCAGTGTTGGCAAACTCACCCCTTTCTCTTACCCTGGTGTTGGTAGCTTGCTACAAAGAGAATTTGACCTTGATGAGGAGTTTGCAGGCTGGCATGGGGTGGATTCTTTTTCTGTCTCATCCCTGCTGCCTCTCTGGATATTGTTTTGTTTATGGAAATCTCTGCATGTGCATCTGAAACGGGCTCAGTGCAGTTCCCCTTCTGGGGTTGCTATGGGGAGACAGGGGATGTGCGAGGGCTGGAGAGGGTCCTGCAGCGACACGTGAGCTGATTTATACCCCAGTGCTTTTGCTGACATAAATGTAAACTTTCTTCTTTCGTGCACAGGACTTTGGTGACGTTGTTTACACTTTTGAAATACCTTTCCATGGCAAGACCTTTATTTTAAAGGTAAGAACCTTCCCGCATCACTTCCTTCCTCTGCGTGGTCCAGAGCCACGGGGTCCCAGCTCAGCTTCCACGCTGGCCCTGGCAGGACAGGTCAGGCTGCAAAGCACACTCTTTGCTTGAGACAGACGAGCTGCCCTGCACGCTCTAGGGAATCTCTCCAGGAAAGCCCCTTGGCTGGCAGACAAACCCCCCAGCAAACATGCTGGGCCCCAATCTCTGCTGGTAGAAGTGGGAGCAGGTGACTGCAAGACTCGCTTCCAACCCCAGCATCTAGGACTAATCTGACCAAGGAGGCTAATTGGAACTAATTGCCAGCAAGACCAGGGCTGAGCGTGCGTCTGCTGCCGCCTGGCATGGAGCAGAGCTGCTCGGAAGTGCCGTGCTCTGTGCCCTCTTGCTGGAGAGCCTTGGCTGGGACCCACGCTTTAATGAAGCATCGGTGCTGCGGTAGCTTTTCTTTGTTCCAGTGCATATGCTGCCTCGCTGGCAGGAGCTGCCAATGGAGCAGCTCTCAGAGAAAAAGCTGGATGGTCCCACTTTACTGCATTAACCGTTTACCTCCAAAGATCTCCTGTCCCACGGGGAGCTGGAGGGATCAGTGTCTGTGCTGGAGCTCAGGACAGCTTCTCAGCAGCTTCCCCAGGCAATTGTGTGCACAGTGGAGCTGCTGGTGGAGTGGGGCAAGAGGAGCCAGCCCCAAGGTCTGCCTGTCTTGCTGTGCTGCGGACAGACACTTGCCCTCTCCAGCTCCACGTGTGCCCTCCAGGCCCCTGTTGCAGAGGGGTGACAGCCTTGGCTTTGCGTGCTCCTGAGCCAGGCCGGCCTCACCTCTTCCCTTCTGTATTATCCCAGTTGTTCTTTGTGATCTGTCCTGTGTTCCTTAAGAATGATCTTGCCCAAGTGACTGGCTTAACTGCTCTGGCTCTGTCCTCAGGCTTTCCTGCAGTGCTCTGCTGAAACGGTTTACCAGGAGGTTATTCTCCAGCCTGAGAAGATGATCCTGTGGAACAGAACAGTGGCAGCTTGCCAGGTGAGCGTGCCGGACAAAGATGGCTTAATCACAGGAGCTCCTTGGAGCGGAGAGTTGGAGCTTCCCAGTCCAACACAGGCTGTGGCCAGGCCCTTACTGGAGCTTTAGCTGGATCCGAGTCACCGAGGCGTTAAATCTCCGCCGCTCATCCGTACGAGCTGATCGCGCCGCGGCAGCCAGCTGC